GCCCAGCGGAGGTGGGAGTGCGCTAGCAGACGTCGGAGCTGTCCGGAAGCCTTTGGGGCTCCGTACTTAGGGAGGCATAGGTAATAAATTGAAAAGAGGGGGTGGTGACCATTGAGGGATACCGAGGTGATTGCGGAATACAGGAGCTCTGAGGTTAGTGGAGAAGGAGCGGAGGTAGTCTGGGGGGATCGGAAGCGGTGGAAGTCAATGGCTGTGGATGGATATGACAGCCACCATCATTCTATTCTTATTCATTCGCTTAACTTACTAGTGGTTGATATTGTCGCCGCTGATCTGCTCCTACATTGACATTTGATTTATTTGTCATATCCATCCACAGCCATTGTCTTCCACTACCTCCGATCCTTCCAGACTACCTCTGCTCCTTCTTCACTAACCTCGGAGCTCCCGTATTCCGCAATCACCTCCACCTCCCTCGATGGTCACCACCCCTCAATTCAATATATTACCTATGCCTCCCTAAGTATGGAGCCCCAAAGGCTTCTGGACAGCTCCGACATCCGCTAGCGCACTCCTGCCTCCGCTGGGCAATTCACTTGCTTGCCCTGCAAGTCCACCTTCAGGCCTATCCCTCCTTTCCATTTCTGGGTTATTGCCTGCCATTCTGCTAACCCCATAACCCGACTTGTCGGTAATATTCAGTCAGCTAATGTTTAACTCCATTAGCTCCACTCTGCTCGGCCCTGCCATTCATGGGCCCACCATCGCTGTAACTATATATATACTCAACTTGTACATAGGTTACACCTCAGTGATAAAATCGACTAGAGTTGATCCCCCTTTAGTTCTCGTTGCCAGTAAGTAAATTAGGGCATGGACGTGTAACTTGGCACAGTGCTCCTGGTCTGAGTCGCTGAGGCTGAAGCCCTCCACCATGGAGACAACTCCTTCATCTCGATCTGGTCTCTAACATTATTCACATATTGACATTTGATTTATTTACATTGACATTTGATCTGCCACTATATTGGTGCCTAGTTTGCCATCCCTATCCAGTCTGATTCCCCGCTTCACTGTCCTTTGTCCATTCATTCCTTCTGTTCCATTTCCCTGGTCCTTGTTGCTCATTTGGTTTTGTCATACTTATCATTCCACTCCTGTCCTGTGCCGGACCGACTGGCCCCTTCTCTGTTCTCCCCTTGTATTTATACTTGTACTTTAACGTCGATGTACATACCTTAGTTTGAATTCCCCTCACAGTATTCCCATCTTAAGTTTGCCTCTTAAGTCTCATCTTCGCCTGAGTCAACATTGCTGCAAGGTCCCTCCCACTAACTCAAAATATGGGACAGCCTGGAACACGTGGTGCAACGCTCCAGGAGCTGAAGTCCCAACCCCCACGATGCCTTGCAATGGAGTTGCATATAGCCAAGTGCCTAACCACATTGCTGCACTCCGCTCCACTTCCTGCGATCACCATGAACATCGTTTCTGACATCCAGACTTTGACCTCCTCCTCTGTCTTATCTCCTTGTATTCCTTATTACATTTCATTTAGTGCATCTAGCCAATATTCCAGACTTTGACTTCTGACTCCGGACCCTGCAGTCTCTACTGTATGGTGTCATTTATGTTGGAGAATATAATATGTTCCCAATAGTATAGAGTTTAACAGCCTATATGGCATGGCTCAAGGGCGAGTAGTGTATGGATGCATGCTAGAGGTCCTGGGTTTGATACCAGGCTTGTCCATGATTTTATGTCCTTGCCATGTAACCTGGATTCGAAGCCATTTGAATTGGAGCTCTGGATAAGTCCAGTAGTTGCACCAGATACAATTTCGACACTGTCCTCACCCGGTGCCCCTGCTCAACTTCCCCCCCTTTCCCTCCTTTCTTCTTCTTTCCTTTTCTATTACAGGGATGATGTAAGCGGGCTAGGGATCTAACCCACTAGGAAAACAGGAAAAGATGGGGACTGGATAGGTATCCAACAGGTCAGGAAAAAGGGGTAATGGTGATATGGTATGGTCCGGTGTGGTACGGTGTGTGGTGTACTCCAGTCAATCTCTCACCCCACCTCTCTGGGTGACACTAAGGTGAGGACTGATCTAGAGGTCTTCTTAGTCGTCTTCTATATCGTACTACTCCCTACTAGCTTGGGAGGGGCAAACTCGGTGGTTTCTAATCCAAAGGAAAAAGTAGATGCATCCTCATGTACAGGTATATATGAGAAATGATCAGAAAAAATGAAGGAAAATATCCGATGAGTCCCATGTGCTTAGGTGGGTCATATCGGCAACAAACAATATCGGAAAAAGGAAGGGAAAACAATAATCAAGAAAACAATAAAGCAATAAATGATTTCCAGCCAAAAAATATCCAACTCTATCCATCGCCAATCAACTCCCGCTAATTACGGATCCTAGTACTCCTAAATGACGCGTTTCCAACGGTACCAATATTGTCCAAATTGGTGCAGTGGTTGCTGAGATAAGTGAAATCCAATCTGAGTGTGGCCGCACTGCTGGGTGGGCGTGGGAATTTGGTCTGTGAGGACTGGGAATGTGTCTGGAAAAATAGGAAAAAATCATGGAAGAGTAGTAATAGTATATGAGGACGTGTGTGATGTGTTTCGTGAAGTGGGGATGTGCAGGGATGGGGAAATCGCGATATTTGGTTTGTTTGTGCAGTACCAGCTGTGCCTGCCTACAACGACTTTCCTTGCATCAATGTACCATTGACCTGGCTGCAGTGCAACATGCCCAGACCTGGGCACACTGGGTGACCTCCCACACACCAGATGCTCCTAGGATCTCTTGTGGAGATACCCCCACAGGTGTGGCTGTGTGTGTAGATGACGTTGCAGGCAGGATAATTGCCCATGCACGGACTCAGCTTGGATACCCACTTCCACCATTCAGAAAACCCCTTCCATTCATGCTACAACCCGGTACAAATTTGACATCTAGAAATAGTGCTAATTCTTACGATTCTGACGATATCAAGAACGTCCCAATCAGTGGAGAATTGATGGAGTTCTGCATTGGACAAGTTAGGCACAGCAGGTCACAAGTATGGGGTGTGGGAATCTCAAGCAGCAACCCAGAATTCCAGCCTCACTCGTTCCCACAGTGTCTAATAAATTGGTAAAAATGCTTATTGGCTGTGTGAGATTTATCTCCAGCTGCATTTCCAATTTTGGCTCTTAATTCTATAAATCTGTTGAGAAATCGCTTATTTTCTTTTATTTTTATATTTTGCCATCATTTCAGTTATTCTTGTATTGTCACTGTTACCCCTTTTTATTTTGCCTAATAAGGTATGCAAGTGCCATATGGCACCAATATTTGCCATCTATTATTTCTAAAAATAATTATTCCTTGTATCCTGTACATACCAGATTCTGGAAAAAAGTTCTCCCCTCCCCCAAATTCTCTAAGGTGCTAGGACACACTAGAGTTGGAGTGAGTGTGTGGAATTCCTTTCAAGGGATCTACTACCGTCATAGTAGGTCTACTATGATCTGAATTGATTTTAAAATTCCCACGGCATAGTAGGATTGAATGGCATAGTAGGATTTTTTTCTCACGGCTAGCAAGTGAGGATGTCCACTTGCTTTTTTTCTCACACACAGGAAATGAAGGGTAACCTTTTCAACCTCCTGTGAAGCCACTACAAATGGGAGCTGGGAACTATACAGTTTTCGGCTCTTTGCCGACTTTCCATAATTGGCACCCCCCCGTGGGAAGATTCTGGGCGAGCTGCTCGCCCAGAATCTTCCCACGGTTGTGGCTGTGATGGTTTCTGGGCAAGTAACTCGCCCAGAACGTTCCCATGGTCTGCATGCATGCGGGATTGTGGAACAGTGAAGGGAAAAATAGGAGAAAATGGGGGAAGGGTACCTGAGGGTGTGTGTGGTCAGGGGCTGTGCCCTGACAGCTAGCAAGTGACGATGTCCAATTGCTTTTTTCTCACGGCAAGCAAGTGAAGATATCCACTTGCTTTTTTTCTCATGGCAGCAAGTGAACATCTTCACTTGCTGTTTTTCTCATGGCTAGCAAGTGAAGATGTCCACTTGCACTATTGTCATAGTAGGATTGAATGGAAAAGGCCGGTGCATAGTAGGATGTTGGTGCCATCTTAGTGTCTCTACTACAGTCATAGTAGGATTGAATGGAAAAGGCAGGTGCATAGGAGGATTTAAGCAAGTGAGGATATCCACTTGCTTTTTTTCTCACAGCAGCAAGTGACGATGTCCACTTGCTTTTTTTCTCACGGCTAGCAAGTGAAGATGTTCACTTGCTTTTTTTCTCACGGCAGCAAGTGACGATGTCCACTTGCTTTTTTTCTCATGGCTAGCAAGTGGAGATGTCCACTTGCTTTTTTTCTCACGGCAGCAAGTGAAGATGTTCACTTGCTTTTTTTCTCACAGCTAGCAAGTGACGATGTCCACTTGCTTTTATTCTCACAGACACCGTATTCCCTGCTCTTGCTGCATGCAGTACATGGCACTACACATAACCACTATGTCAGGGTATGGCCCTTGACCCCACATGCACATGGACCCATGGGAACTTTCTGGGCGAGCAGCTCGCCCAGAATCTTCCCACGGGGGGTGCCAGTTACGGAAAGTTGGCAAAGAGCTGTCACAACTCCGCCAACCCACCCTAGTGCCACTGACTATTATCATCATCGGACCATCCACCCTTCCACCCATTGCAAGGGCACCTGGGGTTTTGGACTCACTGAGGCCACGGTCCCAACTAACTCAACCTAAAACTGACACTGGGTCAAGCTAGCAGTACTTCCTGCGAAGCTGTGTCCCCAAGTCTACAAGCACTAAACCCAAGCTAAACTTTCCTTTTGAGATATTAGCTTCAAGCTTACCAAGGATGTCGACTCTCACGTCTCAATTGCCCCAATGCAAACCGGGAATGTAGCCAGTAGCTCGACAGTCATCCATGTAGATTTCCACCATGCCACTGATGATACCTGAAATGTATGGCATCCATCTCGCCATGAATAAATCACTAAACATCACTGTGAGCTTGAGGACTCTAACTGGATGATGTGAGTTACTTGCTGAAAGTGCCACTCGTTTGCCGTCGTCATCTCCGAATAAACCCGTGTTCCATCCAAACAATACACCCATGAGGGCGCATAGGCAATACCCCCATCAAAGTCTGGATTCTGGAATAGGAAGTGCACACATTCCACCGGATCATGCCAGTAGAGTGTTTGTGGCTCATTGGGCGCTTCTTTGAGGATTATCGTATCGGACCTCCATGAAGGTGGGCCTGGCATTGTCTTCGCCCGATCGTACATTGAAGCTGCATCCTTCCAACTTGGTGGATGCGGATGGTCTGTCACCTAATCCCACAGCTGGTAGCGATCATTTATCTGGAATGTTAGGCTCACGCACCCATTTAAGCTTTTGGAAGCGATTAATCCCTCCTTGTGAAACACCCTCCATGCTCAACCAATAACAAAGTTCCCAATCCTCCTTGCTTTCATAGGGCCGACCACTCTCCTCCTGCTTAGATAGTCGGTCCCAAAGAGTCTCTATGGCACCTCTGGAGGTTTTTTTTGTTGTTATTTAATGGAGGTACGAGATAGACTTGTGTGTGGTCGGTCTGAATTCGCTTGGCACATTCCCCAGTGATGCTACATCTTATGCACCGTACCCACTGTCAGCCTTACACATACTGTGCCTTCCGAGGTTGCAGTCATGCCAATTCAGGTTTATTGCCGCTGCATTCCTGGATCGATTTCTCCAGACGAATTCTGTGCGTGTTCTTCGTCCGCCTATACTACAGGGCTCTGGCCCACTTTCACCTAGTCCTTGGCTTTTCTTCCTTAGTCTCATTCCTTTGGCCTGCAAGCTGTGTTTTCGTCCAAGTTTTATTACTCTTCCTTGCTTCCGGTAAGCTTTTTCGGTCTTGCTGAGGGGGAGGTGTTGTGACCTTCGGTTACTCTCGGCAGGTGGGATCCCGATTGCTTATTCAGGTTTTTTCTAGGTTTCGTTATCTTCGGTTGTTTCCTTGTTCTTTGTAACCTCTGCTCTTGTTCCTCCTGTTCCTCGTTGTCCTTATTTTTCGTGTTACCCTCCATCCCTGGTCTCTTGCCTGTTAATTACTGGCTTCCCGTCTTCAATTTCAAGAGGTTCTGGCATTGGCTGGGACTGTTGCCACGCTATTCTGTTGCGTCTCATCCAGCATGCACACAAGCCGTTCATTAGGTGGTTTCACGGTTGGCCAGATTGCTAAACTCAGGAACTAAACTGGGCCTAATCCAGAAGATGTCGGGAGTGAGTTTGGGGTGGGTTTAAGCGGCTGTTAAGACAAGATCAAAAGCGTTGATCCTGATTGCTAATATTAACCATTTGTTTATTCTTCATATTGTCTCTTGATCCGCCCACTCCGGTCCTATTTAGTTAGTTGTTGTCAGGGCACACCCGCCTGACCCTACGCCGCACCCCACGCCGTACCGCCCTACTCCACTTCCCCGCTATCACCCTTTGCCTCCTCTCTCCCCCTTCCTTCTTTCTTCCTATTTCCTTCTATGGTCGACTTCCCTTTCTCTATGTATCACTAACACACCTAACCCCACTCCCCCGATCGCTGCACCCGCCGTGCGCATTCCTGCTCACAGAGCGGCACACCTCCGGGATCTCCCACGGAGATACCCAGGGGAGTGCGGCTGTGTGCGGGGATGACGTGGCTCCTCCCACGTGACCCTGACCGCATGTATATAATAGCACCTGGGGTGGGAACAGAAGAAGCAGCCTTCTTCTCAACTTCCCACTTCAGGTAAGTACTGTGTTAGAATGCGGGGATTCGGACGACTCCGGAATGGAATCGGAGACTTATCATGGAAGGACCTCGGCCTCAGCGACTCAGGTGGAGCGCTGTGCCATTGCTGGTTGTCCTGGGGGTCCCTAATTTCGGATCTAGCAGAGGGAAAGTCTCTTGGGGGAATTCCAGTCGATTTCGGACTGAGGTTACAAGTTACTAGGTACATTGTATATAAGGAGGGGTCCGGAATCAAAAGGAACAAGGGTAGGACGAAAGGAGACAAAGGGAGATGGAAAGAGGAACAACACCGAGGGTCAAGTGTTTGACTCAATGGTGTTTCCCAAAGGAGGAATGAAGGGCCAAGGCCCAAGGAGGAAGGAAGGAGGTTGGGAGTGGGGAATGGCTAGCTGACTGAATAGAAAGGAAGCAGCAGCCCAAATAGGAATGAGGGAGAATAGCGGAATTGAAATGGACAATGCAATAGTTGCAAGGTCCGGAATAAGTCCGGAAAGTCCGAACTCGGAGGTTAAACTCCGGAATATTGGCAAAGGTAATTAAATGGAATGAGCTAACCAATACAATGGGTATAAGCGGAGGTGGGGTCAAAGTCCGAGGTCGGAGCTAAGACCGGAGGTTCCGGAGACGGAGACGCCAATGGGATTCCGGAGCGGAGGTCCGGAGTCAGGGACATAGGTGTTGTGTACTCGTCTGGAAGGTGTCGAGGTTGGGGTCGGACCCGGAATGTTCCGGAGTCGGACCGAAGGTGGTGTCCGAGCCGGAGGTGGGATAACCTCTTGGGAGTCGGCAAGGAGAAGGTGACGGAAGGGAAGTAGGGCTCCGGAAGTCGGAGTTCGGAGTTCTGGGAGCCCGGAGCGGAGGTCGGGATTGTATGGATATGACATACTGTAGCTTCCCCCTTTTTAATGATAACCAACTTCCCACTTCAGCCTAAGTGGTCGGGGATGCTCACCCCGCGACGGGACTGCCGCTATGCATAGCCGACACTTGTCCCATCGAGTCCCTCGCGCCAGGACCTCACCGCTTTTGGAGCTGTCCCTGACAGTTGTACTTATAACTCGTGTAGGTTACACTGGATGCACCTCAGTTCATATATCGACTAGCATTCCCCCCTCATCTCTACCTCTTGTCGTAAGGCTCCCATCCGAAATTGGGGCACCAGTGTGAGAACGAGCACAGCACTCCACCCGAGTTGCTGAAGCTAACTTCCCACCCCTCCGACCTTACGAGCCCAGGTGATTTCATGCAACCCTTACGGACACTCTGGATATGCATTCCTGACAGATACCCAACCGGCACTTGGGAAGGTGTATCTTCCTTGGTGGGACGCTGTCACACACCATTGCGTTAGACAGCAACGTGGTTTTTTTTTTTCAATAGCATTCCACGCTCAGGCCCTGACAACAAAGGAATAAATACACAACTATTCATTCTGCCATTCCTGGCTCCAATATTGATATCCTATGTAACGATTCAGCATCATGTTATCAGGGGTCCCCAGCAGATGGTCCAACTGGGAAGTGTGGTTGCTGCTAGTACCAGGCACTTGAGCGCGTTGCGATGTTTGCTGTTCATATCCAACACCCTGTGATTCTACTACCGTCACACCCCCACTCGGTCCATCCTGTCCCATCCACAGGTCTTCTGGCATCGAATCAGCATCCCACTCCCACCCATCAGAGAGCAGCTCTTTCAGCGGGCATTGAGAGTACAGATCGTCTAACATACGTGTATCCTCCTGGCATGCATCCAAGGGAGGAAGAGCAGCATCAGGTAATTCCTCCAGCAGCATCTGGCTCATCCAAGGATGGATCCTCTGTCGCATCCTCATCGCAGTCATCCTGCTGTGTTCCCACTGGAGCAGTACCTTGAGTCTGGTGATCACGGTGCAGTGGGCCTATGGTCAAAGGAGGGGTTCCCACCCACGCTCGACTTGCCACTTGACGCCAGCGATCGGGTCTCAGCACGACTGCCCTGTCATCGATTTGGTCAGAGGCCCTTCTGAGTTTCTTCGAGGTTGGACAAGCGGACGATGACCGTCTTCTCTTCCTTGAGGATCGTTCAGGGGTTGTTTGTGGTGATGATGATGACGACGTGGGTTGTGCTGGTGGGGGGATGCTGGCCAAGCTCGTCATGTCCTCGGCAGTGACTTTGCCATCCATGATGGCACTAGATATCAAGGGATCCTGCACCATCTGGAAGAGGAAATCCTTCATTCGGTGGGCCTTGTTCCAGCAATCATAGTTGGGCAAATCCTTTTCAAACATTATTCGCATTTGGAACTGAAGGTCATCCAGGAATAGGTTGACGTCACTGTGGGGCACCAAGGAAGGGAGAGAATCATCATGGCCAGAATTATGGGAAGGGGGGGAAGATGTAGTATCCAACGACGATGCCATAACAGGTGGCAAAGGAGACGCCATCATCCGCTCCAATGCATAACCCTGTGTGTCCCTGATGTTGTTGGGGGGTGGGATTGGGGGAAGCTCGTCGTACCTGGCCTTTGCCCGATTCATAGCTGTAGAGTCCTCTTGAAGCATGTCCTCCACTATACTGTGAAGCTGGTGGTTGAACTCCTCTGCCTCATCCAGCTCCCTCTCCTCCCGATCCAGCTCGACCCGCTTGCATTGCACCATCTCCCTAGACTTTTCCACCTCGTCACGGTGCGAACTCAGCTGTCCAAGGTGGTAGATACTGTCGTAGTACTTGTCCACCGCACCATCCAGCTGCTCCACGACTGCCTCTGACACCTGTCAAAGTTCCTGGAAGCGGTCTGGGGAAGCCGCTTCGATGACTACCCCAGAGATGAAACGATAGGCCTTATCTTTCCATCCAGCGAACCGTCTCAGCAAGGCCCACCACCCTTCGTTTCTCCTGACCATGTCCGTGATCCGAGTGACATCGAACCTGTCCAAGTTGTCACTCGTCTCGTCCACATCCTGTTTCTTGAACATGGCGTCCACAGTGCCTTGACGGATCAGGCGAGATAGGAGGATCTCTTCCAGTAACTGAACGGCACATGAGAAAAAAGAAAAAAAAAAAGACAGCAAGAGTACTCTTACGCCATCGGTGTTATGACCCTTAGCCACGCATAGTTTTG